AGGGGAGTGTGAAGATTTGATATCTTGAAATAGATACTTTCTAGTCGCAACGGAGCAGAGTAGCAGGTTAGCAAAGGGGACTGGGACGGAGTTCTTAGAATTGAAATAACACACCCGTAACCCCAACTCTCACCCCCAAAAAAGGTACGCAATATTAAACAAAATGCTGCGTCTGATTAAGAATAGAATAGATAACTTAATTTAACTATGGTTTCTTATTCAGTGTATGCAAAGTAGAGAAATGATATCGTAAGAGGCCCTTACAATTAATAAAATAAACTAATGTTAAAACAAAAAAGATAAGTTTAAAATAATAATAAATATTATTGCTAAAAATTAGTCTATAAATTAAGTTTATTGTTTGTGTTTATTACAATTCATAGCGCTAAAAATATTACAAGTAAACGCAAAATAACAACTAAATACGTAACAAGAAAAGCCAGTCATAATCTGTAAAAGAGTCCAGGACCCCATATAAAAACAGATCACCAATCTGGTTAGAAGTACATATTACATCTAACGACTTAAAAAAAAAGTATCTATTAACAACGTCTAAAACCTACGCGGTCATGATAACATAAAATGCCTTTTTGGTGCATTCCAATTTTATAGACGACAGTCTAAGATGGTTTCTTGGCCTTCTCCTCCTATTCAATTTAAAACAATCTTTTAAGAATTGCGTTTCCTACTTAGTTAATATAATAAAAGTAACGTTTTACAAGATTGTCGTGTAGGGGCCTGACCACATGTTTCCTAAATGGCCATTTTGGTGTTGCCCAGGGAATTGAGGCTTGTTTTAAATTTTAAACCAATCGATAAACTGACACCACATGAAAGATCGCGTTAAGATTGGTCGTTTGACCAAGTTTCATGCTTTTATGGTGAACTACAGGGTAAGACCAACTGGACTTTGAAAGATAATTCAATATCCATACAAAAGTCTCTAGTTTTGAAACGACGTCCCCCAAAAGCCATAATATATAGATTTAGCCAAGCCTTAAAGCGGAGCTCCTGATTACAATAAGTTAACCTGGATTGAGCCTGCGTTTCAATCGAAAAGCAGTATCTGGGCAGCAGTCAACTTAAAAAACACTTGGCCTCGATGAGCTCTAAACCTGAGCTCACGATATGGTCACGTGATACTATTCAGCAGAAACCTTGTTTTGACAGGTGTCAATTGATCATAACATGGATGTCCAAAATCAAAGATGTACGCTGTTAAAACAAACCTGCGCGACTCATGTTGCGCGACGTTGTCATCGTGGGGTGCTCGCGCCCGCGATCCACGCCGCTAGCCATGTTGACCATGAAAAAATAGTTGCATGGTTCTTTGTGTCTATGCATGCATGTTTTTTCTGTTCCTACAGTTATGATCAGTTATGGTGCTCCGTTGGCGGCCCTTCGGGCCGCTGGAACTCCGCTACAAACTCTTAATAGTTTTATCAGTTTTCTGACAACTATTAAATCCCGTCATGCACCTAGCTACTATTTGAGAGAAGCGGAGATGAAATCACTGCGTTTTAAGAGTATCACAGAAATCAGGTTACACGATTGGCTAGCAGAATGGCTGATGCCAAAATGTCACGGGTGATATCAACGGATTTACCCAGGAAATGTCGAATTTAGTATTGAACATCGAATTTATTAGTCGATAAAAGTGCCGTTTTTTTGTCACTGATTTATTAGTTAGCCAGGAATTCTAGACCGGACGTACGAGTTATCCGCCATCTGATTGGTTTATAAACATGGGAATTGCTTGGGCCACATCATAGTCTGGTCTATCAAACGTGGGTACAATCAAGTGATAGAACTCACTACGTTTTTACTTTTTAGGCAAACGCTTTGAGAATTTAGTGGTAAATAGGTTGTTTTCTATTTGTGCTTTTAAAAAATTTCCACGGGTGATTGCCAGCCTACAGACCGTTCAAATACAGAATCTACAATTTTATTGTTACAATAGAAGAAGCTCGCTGACTCGCAGCCTCTTTATCGACTTGTTTGGAACTAAGTGAAGAGCGCCGATCATAAGATCATCAATGACCTTCTAGAACTACAAGTCACTTCACCTGGCCGTAATGTTCGATTTCAGCTGGAAAGGACAAATAATAAAGAATAAGGTTTCTTGAACGAAATGTTTTGTGGACTTTTATTGAAATTTATTTGAAAAGTATAATAACCCAAATTTATTAATACCGTGTGATTTTCAGTTCAATTTTATTTTTTATTGTTATTCTGCCCTTACATGCATTTCATCATTTCTCACGTCAGATGAACGAGCTCTCCCCGACACCATCTTTAAGCAACAGACGAGTAAAAGCTACAAATTAAGTAGAGGTTTCTACCATTACTATTATTTCAATGGAGCAAACTCGAATAGAGGCTTTTCAACTGATGTTGGTCGTCTGCTTCCTTTCAAACGTGTCAGTTCATTTACTTCATTCAAAAGTATTTGATTCACAGAGCCATGAGCCAGCTGCACTTTCACATGCCGACAAGATTGTAACCTAAGCAAAGTTTATTAACATTTTTGTGAATGGCGAAAGCAAGAGTTAATTACTGATAATTTTCCATTAATGACAGCAATTTTTGAAGCTTTGTCCTTACTAACTGATGAACACACAGGTTAAACTTTGTGTCAGGACAATATTTAATTTAACTGGTTTTCTAAATATTTTATTTACTAGTAATGACCGTAATGTACGCGTTACTAGTTTTTAGTTTTTGGTCTCTGAAACTTTATAAATGATTGTATTGAAATTAACAGGCTCTTAAACGGGCTCGCAAATCACACGTAAATCAGGTTTGTTTGCGACGAAGGAAACTTTCACCCGAGTATATAAACTAAAACAGTTACAACAAGGGTATAGAAATAAATTTCTAATCTTATCAGCAGCGAAATGCTTGAATCTCATTTGTTTTCACTTAGTTCACTATGGTTTTCAGCAAAGCAAAAGTGTCGCATTACAACTCTGTGATCAAAACTACTTTTGATTGGACAATTGCTATGCACGAACTGTATAATTGCACTTCGTATTTGAAAAGTTTCCTTTATCTAAAAAAAATCTTGCTTTTTTTTATACTCTTTTTACATTCTTAGGTGATATTAGAGTTGTTTACATGATATATACCGGCGCCGCTTTCATACCCGGCAGTACGAGCTGAAAGTCATACCGTGTTTACATGAGCTGTTTTCATGGCATTGTGAGGAATACACTGCCGTAAAATCAATGAAACCTCAAGGGATATGAAACAAGCAGAGCTAAACAGTCATACCGCGTTTGCATGACATGGGAATAAACTTTCATATTGTAATGAATATTCGGTGCAGCAACAGGGGTGAACTTGCACCGGTATGAATCGCTCCGGTTTGAGATTTAATGGTGCCAAGTTAACAAATAGAGAGCGATAAGAGGGAACGGGAAAGAAGTCGCCCGAGTATCATGTAAACACCACCTTATAAACTCAATAAAACGGTCCAACACGCACTGGTCAGTTCGACCAAATAAAGCCAGTAATTGAGAAAAATACTTATGAAGCACGACAAAGTTCTTTGATGTTTTTTTTCTTTTTGTACGAAATACGATAGTCGTTTATTTCTACCTGCAGAACAAACCAATAGAAAGGTTTCCATTACGTAATTCATGCACAGTGTATGAGCACAAAACAAACGATTGTCCACAGTTGTGGACTTCCAATATAATTAAATGTTGGTTTTTTTGGTCACTCCTAAGAAGTTTGCCAGTCCGATGAAAAACTCCCTGGATTATAAAAGAACGCAGTTGTATTAACCATGCATATAGCGCTTGGTTTTTGACGGAAACCCATGCGATGATAATTGTGGCTATAAGTTGCTCCACACCAAATTGAAAACCAACATTGTTTTCTTCCAAACGCATACGGAAATCTGCAGATGTTACTGGTTTTATCTGAAGAGACACCTCTATCGATCTTGACGTATTATATGCTACTTTTTATAGTTATTTCAAGTCTTTTTTACTTTTTTAAACTTAAGAGAAATAAATGTACTTGCCAGCGAAAGTGTAGCAGATCTTCATGCAAGGCTTGAAAAGGCTAATAGTCTGGGCCGATAGTAATCGCATCATCGCTTATGACATTCAGTTTCACCGGGGGAAACTAGAAAGAAATATTGCCGAGACTTCGGGCACTTGCAAAGTTTACTTTTAGTGTAAAGAAGGTTTAAAAATGTAGATGAACTATTATTGTTTAAATCTGGGTTGTTTGTGAAAACAATTGCCGGTTTAAATTATTATTTTAGGTAAACAAGTTGAATCTGATGTAGCTCTCTCTTGTCTATAAACTAACTTCGTTCAAATGGCCGGCGAAATATCACGATGTATTTGTGCTTTGAACAGGTATACTGTTGCGCAATTATATGAAGTTAAACGTGAAAAGGAAAATTAAAATAATGTACGTTGATGTCTTAAAAGCTGGTCTTAAAAGTGTACATTGGAGACAGGTTCAAGAGCAAAAATCATGCACCACGCAAACTTTAGAAAAGTCATTAAGAAAAGGGAATTGAATTTCCTCTGAAGTGAGTGAGTGAAAATAATTGCAAATGAATATCAAATTTCCTCACCGGAGGAAATTTTAAAAAATGCATGCTAATGGCTACAACATTAAACCCTTTGTTATTAAACTTTTAAATATTTAGTTGTGTAATTTTCGGGTGGAAAAAAGCGCTTTCTAAACTGGGTCGGACATCATGTGAAACGATGTTTATTATGATTAAAATTTCCCGAATTTCAACTCGAAATGTTTTCTTATATCAGACTATTTGCGCTTAAAATTGCATTGTAAAAGTTTACTTTGAAATTACCGTCAGTTCACGTTTAAAACCTAATTCAATCACATCACACATCTGCGGAGAAATGCTTGACACAAATCAATCCCGCTAAATGGAAAACCGTCAGTTACAGCCTTTTAGTGTGTTTAATTCACTTGTGGGTTGTATGCCTTCCTAATTGAGCCTTCCCCTATCGCTCACGGAAGAGAACAGCGATCATTGCTTTATAAGGAGGACGAAGAATAGCTTCATAAAAGGTTGTTTTAACTCTTTGTTAGTGTTGTTCGCATCCCTTCCTTTTCTGTCTGTCGGAAGAACTTTGATCACCAATTTATCAAAAAGGGTTGCAGCTAGATAACAGAAGTTCAGAAAGAACTGGATTAGGATCAAGCAACACCCTCTTGGCCATAGCAGTTTCGTTTGAAAATGTTTTCAAGACTCACCGTCATTTCCCTTGTCGTCCTTGTCGCTGCCTCCATGATTCCTCAAACTCACGCGTTTACAGCAGGAGCAGGGAATATCGGTAATGGCAAGCGAGCGGTGGATCATAAGAACCAGGTATTTAACACCTTCGCTATTTTAAGTTTTAACAAACGTGACAGATTTAATTTTTTTTTTTGGTTTGAAATATATGCCCATTATATTTTTTCACATCTTAAGTATTAAACTCGATGAATATGTTCACGTCAAGGTGTTGAAGACCTGTATTAACCTGTGAAAATTAGATCTTCCCCACTTATATATACAACGTTTTCTAGTTTGAAAACTATTTTCAATTTGCTTTTATCCAAAAGCTTGGAACCGTTTATCTACTACACCTGTAACTAAGTAACAAAACATAGTTATTTCATCAGATTTTGTGTCTGTGGCGGGTTTCTCCCATAGATCGTTAATATCTACATTGTAGGACCAAAACCTGCTAACCTAATGGCTATTAATGGCAACCTTTTCAGTTGACTGCACTTTCAAAGCGAAAGTCAAAACTTCAGTTCGGATGACGATTTAGTTTGTGTTTGAAAAACCACGGCATGCGTTCTTGAGATTTATTGTTATTCAATAAACGCTTTCCAAACTAATTTCAGTTTTTCCAGTTTTAAAAGTTTCCGCATAAAACGCCATTTTTCAAATCGCCCTTAAATTAATACCCAGTTACAGTGTTTATTTCTTGGGATCAAATTTTGCTATCGTCTAGAATGAAGCAATTTCTCATATACTCACAGCTCGTTTTTTCAGTGTCCGCAAGACTTTAAGTGACGAAAAACACTTGGAAAATGGCTGTCCTCCAAAACACGAAAAAATGTGGCGTACGCGGCCTTTATTGCTGAAATTCCTCTGAAACTTGCATTAACACCCTTATTTACATTATAAAATGTACCTCCCGATTTATTTAAGTGAGTTTACACTTTTTTGGCGGAACGATTTTGCTAAAACTCTCAAAAATTGTGTTTTTCTGCAGAATGTTTTGATTGGGAGCGTATGTAGCTTTCTTGATCTTTTTGACTACCACACCTATCTTTATGTATTTAATTCATTCTTCTCTTTCCGTCGTCCATTTTTTTTTTGTTAATTACATGCTTTGTTGACCTGTTAATGGTTTTAAGCAATCTGGCGAAATGGGTTTGCTTTTATGAACAACATTAAGAAATAAAGATATAGAAATTACACTGCGAACTTTAAAAAAATGTTAAACTTTGTATGCCTTCTCCAAATTTATGACAAACAAAGGAGACATTCCCATCAATATTCTGAGCTTATTCTTCGTAATGGTTTGGATAACACTTTTAAATTGCTACTAATACGTCTTATTTGAAGAGTGAAGATGATGCTAAAAACATTGTTGTATTGCATTTAAAATTTGATCAATCGTCGTCTTTGTCTTAAAGCGATGATCTGCATTACGAACATTTCAGAGAATAGTCAATGTCTCTGCCGCTTTACCAGAGCAGTCGTCGAAGTTTTGTTACCTTCACCACATCAATTGATAGCCAGCAAAGTCGAGCACTGTCGATATTGTTTTCATCTTAACATAGTAATACACCTCGTTTCCCAGTTTAAGAGTAAGGGAGTTTTGAAAAATACGTTCTATTGCAAGTTTTCTGCGCCCTTATCTGATGTCTTATAAGCATCCAAAAATAGGCAAAACTGCCTAAAATTTAATAAAATTTGGTCCAAAGGTACTTTAGGCTCCAAGACACTTCTTATTATTGAGTTCTGTTCTGCCCTGCATTTTACGAGAACAGACTGAAAATATGTCAGGTCCACAGCGTGTACATGCATGTGGCTACTGTTAGCACTATTACAGATTGAATCCGATATAGACTGCGGAATTCCTCTTTGAATTTTAATTGGAATTAAAAAGAAGTTCCAGAATACACGATCGAGAAGCATTCTGGTCTGCACAGTTCGCGACAAGTTTTCGAAGAAAATAGCTGAGACGTTACAAGTGACAATTAGTGTCTTGGTTTAACCAAGATAACAGGCGTTGCAGCGCTGCACATGTAAATCAGAATTGGTCATGTGAACATAGTGCTCGCGGAATGCTAGTGCAGCACTTATCTACTTGAAAGGAGTCGTGGCTACGAAGAAAAAATTTCGATTTTAATTTTATACTTTATTTATTTCAATGCTTTACGATGTCATCTATATTACTTAATTTGCACTGTTGTTGTTACTGTTACTACGAGTTTTTGCGCGATGGAATATGTATAAATTTATAGTTGATTTACAAATGAGATAACAATTGATTTAGTGAATGATAACCGAAATTTTAAATAAAATCGGGAAACTGATCCTCAGGGCTGGGAGAAGAGATAAGACAGAAATCAAATAAAAAATTAACCACAGTTTAATTTTTGTTTGATATCTGTCCTATCTCCTCTCCCTGTAGTCAGAACCGATTTCCCGATTTCATTTACTATTTCAACATATGTGCCGATCCAGGTCTTCACAGGTCCGGCGCTCCTCACTGTTTTGTCGCTGTGGTTTTGCCGTAAGATATGTTTTAACCGAAACGTGCCCGGTTGGCTCGCTTTAAGTTTGTTTAGTTACGGCAATAACCAAAGCCTAGATTTAGTTTCCCTCATTCTCCGTTGATCCTATACAGCTGTTCACAGCGAGAAAAAAAGCGACTTTTAATTCTTTCCTCAAAACACAAATTAAATGACAGATTGCAGAGATGCTTCCTTTTCGTTTGGTTGTAAATGGCTTGCACGGAAGAAATAAATTTGCAACTGTTAAAACTGGAAGGAATTTTTATTACCTCAAGCACGTGGAATCACCTGCAGACGATGCTGTTCTAATTCCGCAAACATTGCTGATAATTTATCGTTTAATCGCTATCTTAAGTGCTTCCTTTTCAAGTTATGTAAAACTGGTTTACTTATTTATTTTTTCTAATTTTGTTAATGTTTTATTCGAAAAGTTGCACAACTTTACAGTTGTCTTCAATATTTTCCTATGATTAACGTTTAATTTACATTTCAAACGGCACAGAATAACAGCTTCTCTCGAGAATGAAAATCTTTAAAGCTGGAATAAGCATTAAGCCAAAAAACAAGTTTCCGGTTAGCCGAATGCTGGTGACAATGATTACATTAAATAATTTCTTGGCCTTTGTTTTCGTTTAGAAAAGTTCCCCATCGAGTTGGGGGAAGGAAAAACATAATTAAACGGTATAGAAATAGCAATCAAGTCCTATTCTCTTAACAGTTTCCTCTGCTGCGCTGTTTTACCGATTCTCTTTTTTAAACCTTTGTCGTTATTTAATAAGGGAAACTATGTTCAATGCCGTTTCCTTTTCAACGTGTCAGTTCATTTAGCTCACCTGGAAATTATTCAATTCACTGTGTAAACAGCCAGCTGCACAATGACGTGCCACAATTGTGACCTATGCGAAGATCATTAATATTTTTTGTATCCAAATTAAAGCGAGTGTTAATAGTTGGTAATTCTCTATTGATGCCACCTTTTTGAGCTTTCGGATAAAGTGACAAACGTGTGCGTTTTATTTGCTCATGAATCTACACGTCAAACAATGTATTATTTAATTGGTCCTTCCAAGAGATTCCCTTATGTTTCAGATGTAAAAATAGCATTTTGCCAAGAAATCTACAAGTGGAAAATCACACAGAATGAACGGTTTTGCTGGATTTTGTAAATTGATAAACCAATGAAAGACCACAAAGAGAAAAGGACACGTTTATGCCAACAAAAAGACAACGTTGGCTCAGCTTTATTAGCGGCATTAAACAAGAAAATTATAATACGTTTTCAATGAACATGCTGGGCTAATTAGAGTAGAACATTAAACAGTAACGCATTTTGTTTTTGACAAAGTAGTCTGTAACAAGAACGAAACTGAAAGTCGAAGCACACGAAGGTCAGGCTTAATACTACAGCAATAGAAAAGAACCGCTTCCTAATATGTTTGGGCAAATTCGTTGAGTTGAGTACCAAAGCTTACAGTGCATATCTTAAACCTTAACATGTGTAATAGTTTGACCACTTCCCTAAAGTCTTATTGTTGCCTGAATACTAATGTGAACATATCATGTAATTTTTTTTTTTTTGAAATAATCTATGTTTTGTATAAGGACAAACCTTTCCAATGATACGCAAACTGGATAAACTTGCGCCTGCTCTAGAAGATTTACTTTGTTATTCCGTCGTCACATCAAGTGTAATTCATCATTTCGTGCTATTTCTTAATTATTCAGAGCTATCCCTCCGACAATAAACGAAAAAAACTCAAAAAAGTCACGAAGAACAGTTCTTTTCAGAACTGCCCTCACCGTTACGGTAACACTTTACGCCGAATTACTAATACTCGTGGGTTCAAACCATTTACTACGAAACAGCTCCGTGGAAAGTAATCTTTTCGTTGATGTGTTGATATCACAAAACGACGTGTGTGGTTTAAAAGCATAAACAACATGCAGACATATTCAAGTGTAGAATTATGAACCAAATGAATTTATGATAATAAATCATTAGGAAAAAATATTAAATTTCCTTTAATATTTAGACTAAAAAGTAATTGCAAATTAACTTAAAATTTCCTCGCCGGCGGAAATATAAATAACTGCTAATGACTAGTAACTAACGCATTATTTTTACACTGCCTCCAAAGTCGCTAATTTCAACCAAAGGCTAAGCTCCACGCGAACAGTTTTCCTAAACCACCGAGAATCATCAATTTCGCACCTTTTTCAAACATATATCACACGTTAAAATATCAAGGTTATGGCTGTTACAAGCATTCGTGATTAAATAAATGCAGTACTGTAAATAGCATTGTATAACTTTACTTTTAAATTACCGCTGATTCATATTAAAAACCTAATTCAATCAAAAAACACAGACGCATATTTGACACGTTTTACTCCCACTAAATGAAATACTGTCACTTATCGCCTTCTCGTGCGTTAATTCACTTGTGGGCTGCACAATATCTCCCTAATTCCGTCTCCTCTGTTTTGCTCACGGGGAAGAACATCATTATTTCATAAAGAGGAACTTAAGCTAAGAACCCCGCTTTATTCTTTCCAGTGGGAACAATCTCGTCAAAGTCCCATTGATATTCTATTGCCGGTTATACCGGATTATCGCATCGTGTCCCGCTGGATGCAGTGTACCGGAAGGGTTTTGATCACAGATTAATATAAAAGCGGCGCAGTTGAAGAGTAGAAACCCACATCACAATTGGATTAAGATTAGGCAACACTGTCTTCTTGACTGCAATACTTTCCTCTCAAAATGAATTCAAGATTCTCCGCCGTTTTTCTACTTGTTCTTGTGGCTTTCTCCATGTGTCCTCAAACGCACGCGTTCACAGCAGGAGCAGGAAATATCGGCAAACGAGGAGAAGATAACCAACAGGTACCTATACCAGCCATATTTACTCTTTAACTTTCGAAACAGCTAACATTTTATTGTTTTCAGTTCAAAGTAAGACATGGCCTTTGTATTACCTCGCTTTCCGAGCGAATAACATAAACTTCAGATTGAAATAAGTTCATTAAACATTTTGCCTCAAAGCAAGTCCACAAATTAAACGCCAAGAACATATCATCATTCAAAAACGCTTTCAATTTTTTTTCTTTTCAAGCTTAAAAAGTAAGCAAAGGATGGTGTATTAAAATTTTTAAGTATTTTGCGTTTTCTGCATGCCATTAATGCTGGCAAACTCTCAATTTACCGTTCTAACGAGGTAAGAAAGTAAGCAACGTTATTAAATCTGCCGCGCCAGGCGTCGTTATAGTCTTTATCAAAAACGCATTAGGAAATGGACAGATCAACTGGTGGGAGTTACCACAAAATTGTAGCAAATGATGAAAAGGCTCTTAGATATGCTTCTAAGAAAGGGCGGTCATAAAGAAACGTCCTCGTTAAAATTCTACCGCAAAGTGATTTCAGGGAAGGAATCGATCCATTTAAATATATGTCTTTTTTATTCGATCCCATGTGGAATTTTTTTCCCTGTTTTAGACTTTCGTGTTTGATTGCTTTCCCCCAGCAGCGATATATCTGAGAAAGGTCATTGTAGAGTGCTTCGAAATTGACTCCTTTTGATAATCTCTGGCGCCTGGCAAATTGCGACTTCCTAAACAGCTAGGTATGAATATATTAAAACTCTAATGGAGTTTCGACCTATGATGTTCAGATATGAAGGCGTTAGGCTTGGGGAAGAGGGTTCCTTTGTCCATTTCATAGCACAGTGCTATAGGAAAGCGCTTAATCAAACGGCTCGCTAACTGTCAATTAAAGTCAAAACTTTACGAGGCATTAAGCAGACGCATGTAGGTCAAATAAGCCTGAACAGTTGTCTTTCCTTTTGTTTGATTCTCCTTTTTGGTTGGTGTGGTTTCTCGTCTAGTTTCCTTCTCTTGTGAGTAACGTGATCAGCACGGAGTTAATAGACACTACACCAGAGGCTAGAAAGCAACTCGAATGACTAAAAACATCTCCAAGCTGTTAGAATTAAGATAAGATTTAAAATGTACAGTTAGAATTAAGAAACAAATTAATTAAGTTCATTCTATGAGCGCTGTTTCCGGTCAAGAAAAGCAAAAAGGTATAATTGCAGAGCACTTATCGCTTCTGAAAAACGGCATCAAGGTATATAGTCGCGAAACTCGTTTGTTTTGATCATAGGTCGCACTAACAAAGTGCATTGAGTTATCAAAAATAAAGTCACTTTAGAGTGCAAATTAAGGTAAATGCTATCAACGATAAACCTCTCCGGTGTATTGCATTGTCTGGGTCACACTTTTGGATGATTTAAGTTCTGCAAGAGAGAGAATATTAGCTCACGATTGCCACACTTAAAAAACTAAGGTTGTTCACTCGGTTTGGTTTGATTGACTATGTTAGCATCAGTCATGATCTAATTCAACTGAACTGTGATCTGCTCTTCAACTTAAACGCTCGGTGTGTTAATTTTTTAAATTACTTTTAGACATTTTGGTGTTAGCTATAAAGACTTGCAAATGAAAACCAGGAAGGCTTGTGAAAAAACAATTTCAAAATAACGTCTGACTAAAAGTGTTTTTTTTTTTATTATTTGTTTATTTATTTATTTATTTACAAAATAGTAGATTGTACGTCGTTATATGCAGATTAGCTTACGTCTATTCCGGTTCTGTCGTATATTCATTACAAAAGTTTGAACATTATCTTACTAGTTTTCCTTAAAAGTTGGAGACATCAATAAAATAGTTTTTCAAGCTTTGTCTAAAAATCCGATCTCAAAAGTCGATCAATACCTCTTAGCACCAAAGAAGGCTGTCGTCTGAATAGCTGCTTAAAGTAACATTTTATTGACTGTTCCATCCATTGCGGTTTTCACTGTTTATCAGAGGTTCTATTCAAAGGGAATGTAATCATTCTAATATAACATCTTCACTGCAAGGATGTGCACTAAATTCGTCCGAGCGCAAGTTCCTGTCGCACCAGTAAATGCTTAATTGCCCTTAAGTCTGTGAGGTCCCGTCACTTGCGATCTCCTGCCAATTTACCCCGTGAGAATTTTTTAGCTTTGTGACTGATGAAACTCCGTCACCATCTTATACTGCCTCCTTATAACATGTTTAGAATCCTTCATTATATGACGGGCGACTAAGGCCATCTTTACACAATCTTGTTCAACTCTAATTTTCCGAGATCATATCATTGGAATCCTTCAGAAAATGAGTCTGAAATAGTCATAACTGAAATATACTTATTTTTTTCAGATTACATTTAGCCTTCACCGTATCTGTGAAACGGCAGAGATCGCTTGTTCGTCTCTCAAGAGAAAAAAGGATGAATTTGCTATTCCAATGAAAGATCGATATGAACAGTAAACCGGCACGGCCACTGATCAGCTTATCTTATCTTCAAGTTTCCTTTGGACTGAATCTTATGGAAGACAATGCCACGTCAAAAGAAGACTTTGAACATGTCTGTAAATTTATTTTAATGTGTAAAGTAGATAATCATGACTGTGTCAACTGGTAAAATGAATAAAAACAAAATTCAAACGCAGTGTAAAAAGGTATGGCAAATAAACATTGTGACCAAATACAAAACTCATGGAGTCGTCAATGTAACATCACCCCTGGTTTTATCGCGCAGCTGAGATGATAAAATTAATGAAATAGGACAAGTCATTTTCCCACGCTGGTATTGTTGACACTTAAGTTAGTGGTCAAGTGGAAAAGAACTAAAATTTACGCATACATACTTGAATTGGAAAGGCACCGTTTCAGAGGAAGGGATGTTTTGTTAACTGACCCAAAAGTAGTCTCGCACATTTCAAAGTCTTGGATTAAATCTCGGGTTCGCTTTTTAAATGATCACCTCTCCATGTTTGAATTAATGTTACAGAGCTCGGGTCTTTCACGAGTAAAGAACGATTCTCCCATACATGAGATTTTTGTAATGACATTACAATTTTGAAATATGAACGATGCCAGATTGATTAAACGTTGTCAAGCAACCGTTTGTTTTTTGGGGGGAGGGGAGCGAATGCTCAGTACTATAAGGTCACTGAACTGAACAGTAAGCAACAAATCTGCTTGTTGGCACGAGCTACGACGTCATCAGAAAATTATAAAATACCACTTGTTTCGAAACATACCGTGGATTATTTGATGATATTTCGGCCAATTTTTTGTTAAAGAATTTTTCGACCGCCATCTTGGCCAGGTAGAGGTCTGAGTCAGAAACAGGGCTTTAATCTGTTACCAAACTTGGCGTGCTTGAAATAGCGTTGGCTGAGAGTGCCAGTTAAAATTAAGTCTTCTTGATCACAAAGATAGTATACTGCCATGGTCTGAATGGCTTCAAATACGCCATCTGAACTTGAACCAGCAGAGAGATGGTCAGGACTTCTTTTCAAGTCAGCACACATTTTATTGCTGTTCACTATAACAGTACAGCTTAAGACACCTGCCTGCCGTATACAAAGGTAGGAATTTAAGATCGTACAACATGCTTCCATCCCGCTCTAAGCAGATCTACACAGAAGTTGGGTATAATTAGTAAATTCTTCACTCCAGAAGAAAAAATCAAGGCTTAGAAACTGTGGCTTCTTTGATGCTCAGAGCAGCGCTTTTTGATTTAGAGTCAAAAGCTAAATTATAATTTGACTAAAGCTGTTATCTATACGAGGGTTTGGTCAACTAAGATAATCACTCTAGTGGCTGGACAGAATGCTGGTCACATTGCTAACTACTTAGACCAACGTCATCCAGTTAAAGAAAAACGAAAGAAACTTATATTTTAAGACTGGGTGAATATTTTTGCATAACTAGACACGGTCAAAGGCCTAGGTTTATCCCGGCGCTGACCTGAAAGCACATACTCTAGAAGCAATCACACTGTCATTGCCGAAAACAACTACATGTCCAACCGTAATGCTTGTTATTCTAACATCAATAATGAGTTAAATTTACTTGTAAGAAACCAAAACCAAATATACTGCGTATAATTCCTTAAGCTATACATTCCACACGTGCCATTCTTTTTCGTTGAATATGTTTCACACACACACACACACACCAAAAACACTATCTCATGTTCACACAAATTGATATAGCCCTGAATATAAAATATTCAATATATCAGTTGAAATTTTGAACATACTTTATCATAAGGAAATATCTAAAGGCGATGACTTGATAGTTACCGAGAAAACTAAAAATGGAAATCATAAATCAAAGGAATGTTCAAAGCAAAAGACTAAATGTAGACCAAATGTACAAATAAATGTCCATCTTCTCAGGAAAATGTAGCTTATCGTAACAGTCTTAATGGAGGTCTACACATCCTCTGCCAAAAGGTCAGGGTGCAAGCTCTGACTACAACTACGACAGTCGATATCATCATCATACTCTTCAATGGCTGATCCTCGTGGCTTGTAAGATCGCGCTTCCAGAACTGTTTTCAGGCCAGACCAGTTGCTTTTTGTTGTAGGATCACTAAGGTTACTCAGGTCAGCTCTACGAAGCAGTTTGCCATCTTTTACCTGAAACATAGGGTAATTGTTTTTCTCGTTCGCGTCTACAAATGGTATGTAGTCGGTCACAACACTTGAATCTACCGTTTTCTCGTGATAAAGGAATGCGTCGTAAACCTGGTTGACAGACGCCTGGACGGCATCTACCGCAATTCTGATGTTACCTTCGCTTTCTTCGTTCAGCAACATACCGTCACCGTAGGCAATCCACTTCTCACCCCTTTTGTTTGCAACACGGATACCGTAGTTGTTGTCTTCATCGTGCATGTATTTGCTCAGTAAGTGGCCCACTTTGGAAGGTGTAATTTGCTTTCCAAGTTCAAGTCTGGGTGTCCTGACAGTCAAATGTTACAGATTCATTGTACATTCGGTAATACTGATACTGTATGTGTTTTATGTTTTGCTTTTTGGCTTAGATAGAATCACATTCTAGGAAACTTGAATTTCAGTGTTATGACTCAGATATATGATCGGGAGCAAGAGGTTTTGGAAAAGGAATTTTCAAAACGTTGAGTAATATTCATTGAAATTAGAGCTCTTAGGAGGAAATCATCCATAAAAATTGAATTTTCACGCGTCTGACAAATCTGAATTCTACATCGCAGGGTTTTCAACATTTATTATTGTCATTAACGAAGCCATTTTCAAAACAGGTAGATGCTTGCGAACTCGACTGAATGTACCTGAAGGTTCCAAAGCAGAGTTTGGAAGCCCAAATCACACTTGATCTTGATCATGAAGCGATTCATTCACGTTCTTAATTCAGTTAAACTCGCTATCTTACCTTAGATGTCCACTCGAAAAGCTATCTGTTAGGAAATGGCAGGCAAACGCATCGATGGAATACGCTTCCTCGAGCAGCCTTATCTTTTCTTGTTGGTTTTCAACTTTGCTTGCCTCCCTCGCCTTCTCCAAAGCTAATTCATGGCCAGCTATGTACGCGTCTTTTGCATAAGGTAGGAAGTGGTCATAATTGTTTTGTGCCAACTTCATCATTCGTCCGGATATGACTGGAACCTGGAAGATCCATTTACCACCAGTTAGCTCATCCCATTTCTTTACCAGGGAGTTCCCTAACTTCTCGTAGACATCTTTGGGAACCATGCAAACATGTCCATCGTTATCCGATATGGTCACCTTTCCTTCTTGACACTCTAGCGCAGCTTCAATTTGACTCTTCTCTTCCGTCATTATTTTCTTGATACCGTCGTATTCCGCATTTGCTAGAGTGTTGTAAGCTGCGATAAAACGCTTTCGGCGGCCAGTTTTCATTTTATTATGTTTCTTCAGATGGATCTATAATGGGCTTCTCTGGGACACCGTAGAAGTCTCCCGCTAAAGCAATAATTTGGCCGAAAGTAAGCTGCAAGCCATTCGGTAGCCTCAGGAGACGATTAGCTCCCAACACGTCCTGCTCACGTTTCCCACCGTTTGGATTTTGCACTGGAAATCGAAGCTTCACCTTGTTTCCTATGTTTTCGTGCTCTGCTGCCTCGAATTCTTCTCCTCCTTCTTTATCAATGGTAACTGACTCAGGCGTGCGTTTGATGATGTTAATCAACTGCTCCAAAAGGGTTTTCCCCTGCCAAATTTCATCAGTCTCCATTGCAGTCAGCCGAGTTTTGGTGTGAATCAAGACACGCGACACGAAATAGAGTAGATATATATTTTTCAATGCGGAAAATGCAGTGCATTTGCTTAATAAACGTAATTCATGGTCTAATGACTATACAATAGGTCACATGGGTTTATTGCATTTGTTATTAGGGGAATGTTTAATTTAGAGATGTAAACTGCTGATTTCATGGAAATGGATGGCTCTAAGTTTATTCCGCAAAGAGCAAAGGTCTTTGTTTTTGAGGTGGTGAGCTGTATCGAACTATGTTGTTCCTTCCTGGGTGCGGTCGATGTAATTGTTGTGCAAAACAAAGTTGAAATTTATGGGTTTCTTTTAGTTTTTGCATTGTCATTGTTAGTATCGTAACGACTGTTAACTTGAGTGCTAATGGGATACCGGCCATAACGCAGAAACGGGGTCAGATACGTTATGGCTTGTGGGAAATGAGATTTAACTGATTGTAACTCAATATGGTTATCATGGTTTAGAATCGGCTCCTCTGCAACCCAAGTTAAAGTTCTCAATGCACTTCATTCTGTGTCCTTAAAACAAGGAAAAAGACCAAGATGTTCATTAATAAAACGCGTTTACCCCTTCAAATGAGCGTGCGTCATTGCTGGTCATTAACTCATTGAACATGTCTTCGGATCACAAAACCGTGAAGTGCATAATACACCAACTTGGTGCCGGTCGATGTTTTCACAGTCTTGATTATCGTATTATAATGGCATCCAATCAAGAATTTTGCTATGTCAGTGAGTGGGAATGCGATGAAGGAGACAATGAGGAATCAGACATCGATCATGGAGAGGGGGAAGAAGCTGGCAGAGGTTTGACAAAAAACCAAAAAGCTTGGAATTCTTGTGACAAGTTGAAAGCAGACGCCAATTATCATCAACGATATATTCCACTGAAGGATGCCCTTGGCTTCAGACATCTGTCAAGTGAAGAAAAGGCAAAGTTCGTCAAAGACAAGGCACTTGCTGAAGAAGATGGATTGTTCCTGAGTTCAGAGGAGGCAGTAAACTGCCTTGATCGTTTTTCATCTGCAGTGGTTTGTATCACTGTCAAGCTCACCTCATCCCAGGCCTACGGCACGGGCTTCTTTATCCGAGAAAACAATGAAGATGTTGTCATTACTAATTCTCACAGCATAAGAAGCTCGCAAAGTGGCACTGGAATCGACTTTCGTCTGGTCAAACCAGGGAATGTGCGAGTTACCTCTTTTTACAACGGAAACGGAAGTTTGCAAGAAACTCGCAAGGTGGCTAGGATCGAAAGGGCTTCACCACCAGACAAGAATAAAGACAAAAATGTTTTAGAAGCTTCCCTGAAAGGAAACCTCCACGGAGACGGGAAATCAGACACAGATGACGTCAGTAAATGCGACGTCGCATTGAAATTGCTTTCTTCATATTTTAGCCTTAGAGATGCTTTTCTGGATTATGCTTTGTTGTACTTGCTGCCTATGGAAAATGACGACCAGAAAGCTAAGTTTGCGACGGTTAAACCTCTGGAGATGAAAGCCTTCGACAAACTAGAAAACTTTCGAAATGTTTCATCCTTCGGATTTCCTGATCCCAGAAGTTTAAAGTATCCTCGTTCTCTTAGACTGCTGACCATCTGTCATCCGCACCGTGCTAGCACACAAGTGTCGTTTGGAGGCATGTTATCTGACCTGCAGCATGTGTACTTTTTGAACATGACTTATGGTCAAAATGACACTGGAATGTTGAATGGTAAAGATCCGTTCGTCAAGCATTCGATTGCTACTTGCAAAGGTTCCTTAAGCGCTTCAATTTTCGCCTTCGTTGTCAACCACGAAACTGGCGAGGTTAAAGTAGATGAATGTGTTTATTCCTTCATTTCTATGGAGAAAACGTGGAAGGACAGTTTCGTGGGAAAGCGGTGTCATTTTCTACTATTATTCGAAATCTTGAGCTCCATGCTATCCACAATAAACTGGGCGCTGCTTTAGCTGAGGTAGGAAGCCCTGCCGAAGATGAAGAACATTGAACGAGCAAGACGTGAAGGAAGAAAGCCAGAGTGATGATATTTGGCTGATTGTAGCAATGAAATATAGTTATTACTTTATTCAGGCCCTTACCAAAGATCATATCCTGATAACCGTTCTTGGGTATAGTTTGTAACATTATATTAGTCGGTGAATGGCGAAATACGTCCTTAGTTCGAAGCTTTACATCCAAGTAATAGATGAACCATGCTTGACAATTCTGTGACCCAACATCGCAGTAACTGTATTATTAAACTATTATTATATATCCTGTAAATGACTGTGGAACGTTCGCAGACACGTAGAAATAAAAAGCTTTTTCCAAAATTACTGTGAGAAATTTCGAACTATGTTTTCGATGTCGAAGACTGTAACGAACTATATGAAAACAAAACAGTTCAAGCGACAGCTTTCTTCAAAATCGGTCAAGTTCACTCAAGTATGGAAGGACAAGACGCGATCGAATGTGACAAACTTTACTGGATTACTAGGCTAAATTCTAAGCTGAAAATCTGTTATCCCTAACTGAACGATGATGTGTTTTGGGATCTTCCGTGAATTTAATGCTGCGTTTCTTCTTCATTCGATGGGTCCTTTTTTTGTTGTACTTCTTCAACTTTTTCGATTAAATGTTTCGTACCAAACCCTAGATAATTGAATTAGTTGTTAAATTTTTGTGGCTTTTTGTAGTTTTCTGAGATGACCTTGCCTTTTATTTCCTGTAGTTGACGGTAGAAAGTTTACCAGTTCTGCTGTCTGAGCCATCCTTTTTTCCCTCAGAACTTTCTATTTTAGCATACAAATTATAAGACCGTGTCCATAAGAAAACCAAGCCAGCTCAAATCACGGTACCCTCACACTCGAGTTCGTCGAGGACTTGTCTCCTCGGCTCCACCATCTCCAGTGACCTCTACCTGGATGCCGAGCTCAACAAGTGGATCGGCAAAGCAGCAACGGCCAACAACCGTCTGGCACTGAGGGTCTGGGACAACCCCATTCTGACCATCAACATCAAGATACAGGTATACTGAGCCTGGGTGCTCAGTACTCTGCTCTGTGGCAGCGAGTCATGGACTCTCTATTCCCGTCAAAAACGCAGGCTTGATCAACACCTGTCTTTTGTCCCCTTCCACAAAAACTTATCCAGGCATTTTCCCAATATTTGTAACAATGCACCTCCTCCTAACTCGAACTCTGGGTAGATTTTTATCTACAAAATAGGCAGACCTGGTAGACCATAAATTGAGTGCTGCAATAGAATTTGAGCTAAGGCTTAAACTGCTCATGATTCTATTCAGTTTGCACGGCATCCACTGATATATTTCCAATCAGGCTTTGCAGTGATTCAAATGTTGACTGTAAATACCTGTGATAGCCTGTGTCTCAGGCTATCACGAGAATCCCTGATGGACGCCGGACACCCAAGGATAGAATAAAATTACTAGTTGGGCTTCATCTGTGGGCACGTGAAAAACTTAGTTGTTTGCCAACTCTGAGTGTAGAAAGCTAAATCAACCCGCTGCAGTGAGTTTGCGAGGCTGACGCTTGGAACGTGAGCCCGTAAACACAGCAGAGGTAATTAAAGACCAACAGAAGATGGAAATGACGGGAAATATGGGGAAAAGTTACACACACCCACTGTACGTTTTGAGTTGTTTTTAAAAATATAAAGATACGGGAAAGGGTTGACTGGCAGGGATAGTATAGGAGATGGAGGCTCCGAGTAATGGGCTCCTGCATGAGACTAAGGCCAGTATTGAGGTTAACTCTCTTACCTTCATAATTCTTACCCTCTTAAGGCGGGGGTCTACCTGAATTTAAGTGAAATTTTAGAAAGTTTAAAGAGGGATTAAAAGGAAAAAAAAGGTTATGGAACACCAGTTCTACCAATTTTTAACTTCAAATTCTACTTTTAAAACAATACCAAATCTTCAAAATTTCCTGTTTCCATAGGTTTTACTAATCCTTTGAGAAAAACTATTTATCTCCAAATATACCTAAAAATCACCAAAAAAAATTTACAAAGCAGCCCAAAACATAGATGTGTGGGATGAGCAGAGAGATTCTTGACTGCTTGAAATGTAAATGAGATATTTGCATTAAAACCATAATACCCAACTAAAATACGGCCTTCATGTAGACCCCCGCCTTAACAATTTTATTGGCTAGAAACCTTGCAGTGGGCCTCCCAGTGCCCAACGTATTACTGTGACACCAGCCCTTTAATTAAAGAGGGAAGTCAAAAGGCATGTTACATTTACATTGTTGGACAGCTAGTTATGTTACAAATTGTTGTAGTTGTGCACTGTCATCACTAGAACAGAACAGCTACCGGCCAGCAGTCTTCTGTATATAGAACCGTTCGGCTTTGGAATGAACACCCTCAAACTCTAACAGCTGTACATGTAAAACCAGTAAAACTATTACAACTATTACTAGTTTCACATGCACAACGTGTTGATCGCAAATTGAAAAAGTCGATGGGGCAGACTTTTTCAAATTGATAGTCTCTTGTTTTCTCTTGAAGAATGGCTAAAAATGATTCCCTTAGTGTGTTCATCTTGCTATCCCAGGCATATTTCGTACTAAGAGGTCATTTCCGAATTGCCTTTAGCCTCTTTCTCTACGCGAGTCTTGGTGCCCATCCTTTCATATGAAAATGAGGACATGCAAATTAACTCATTTTCATATGAATGGTTGTGCACCAGGCCTCGCTTTGATAGAGAGGCTTAGGCCAACTCAGAGATGGAATATTCCTTTCCGAGTCCGTTCAGGGTCTGATCACGTGGGCTTCAAAGTACAATTAAACGAATTATTTGGGTTTGTTGTCCGTTTTTTCCCCTTCCTTTGTCTTTTCTTTTCCGTTGATCTGATGTCGGTGTTTCGATGGTTTTGTTTCATTGACTTAGGTTTTATTGGGACATGCCATAAATGGCTTATTTACCTACTTAATGAAAAATACGTAGATTCGAGATCTCATGCGTCACAGTTTTGACTGACGTTTTCACTTGGTTGTTTCACTGTTTAATTCCAGCCAAAATCCACAGAAATTTGAAACCAAACTTCCTCTCACTCTTAAGCGGTTCAAACTCAAGGTAGGTTATCATTAAATCACTTTTTTTTTTTTTTCGGCGATTGACCCGGAACAGTTTTTAACTTTGCATTTCACATGACGCTAAACCGGATCGCAATCCGGCCGACACCTCTTCGTAATATGAGCGCCAAAAAGTGACATGCAATTTTACGAGGTATAAACTCCCGGCGCTTTGTAAAGTGAGACCTTTGGTTATTAAAAGAAAATTTCCCAAGCCGAATCTAAGAATTGGTTGTGGAGGCAACAAATTGTGCAAGTAATAACTATGAAACAGCAGTTTTATTCAAATGTTAGGTAAAAAGAAAAAAATTCTATGATTTAGTACTTACGGAAAAGATCGTCTGTGTCTGAGCCAAGGGAAGTAAGCGTTCAAATAAACATATTGTGCGAAAGATGATTATTACAGAACTTATGTTTACTTCACTATGTTAATAAAATCCAAAGAAAACGGCATCTGTTAGTTTCACAAGCCTGGGGCACGGCATAAGCCTCGAGATGAGAACGTGCAGGGAAAGAAAGAGATGTTACGCCCCAAATCGTTGCAGCCTTTATTTACACAAGGCAGGCATTTTTTTTTTGTCGTAGACGTACTAATCTGAATCAAGGATTAATCAGAAAGTCGCGGCACATTAACAATGGAAAACTCATAAAAAACATTGCCTCCACATTTCTTTATTATCGTTTATTTTGTGGCTGAAAATTAACAAATCTACTGCACTCGTTTCAGTTTAATTTGGAATTTTTGTCGGCTTCCTTGTAATAAACACTGGGTGAAGCCCATCTTCCGACAAATTACGACCGAATAAGACATAGTGTCGTTAAAACTTGTTTCGATGTTTACTCTGCGGAGAAAATTCAAGTGTTTTAGGGCGCCTAGCACTTGATCCTCCGCCCCGAAGCTATATTTATATCCGTGCATCTGCTGACTCAAGTGTACGAGCAAGACAACTAGGAAAATATTAACTTTTCAGTCTGTTTTACGAAATAAATATATAGCGCTAGATGAAAACTAGATGAGCTTAAATCAAAGCAATTATATTGCCATGCATTTTCACTGAAAACCGAAATTATTAAGTGTCGGATGAAAAATATCTTAAACAGAGCGACGTTGTTTCTTTTTCTCCCGCTGGGTGTTGACTGGACAAAAGCCGCGAAACAGATCCAGATTTAGAAAAATAAAGACCTGTCAATAAAGGCTATTAAAAACGGCTTCAATTTATCCTCTATTCACGATTCAATAAGCACGAATGTTCAGATAAAGAGGACATTAAGCCTAGCCCCGGTATTTTTACATTCAAGTAAGGCTTTTTTGGACGAAGTAACAACTTTCCGTTTCCAAGGAAAATTAGGGAAAGTCGATAAAAGCCTTATTCACTGTTGTTATTTCCAGCTGCTCTTTCTGATTTGCTGTTTGGGTATTTGCATTTGTAAATGATACTTAATGAAAGTTGCAATTATTCTGAATGTTTTTGTTGTAAAAGAAGGCAGTTGACACGAATAAATCTAGTTGCTTCGACCGAGAATTAAGTCACAACATCTTACAACTTCAGTTAACCAAGACTTAACTGAAACATTGAGACAACGGTTGAATCAACTTTGATAACACTGCACAAAAGGGCGTCCACTACGATAGTTTGCAAAGGTAGGCTAGCCCGTTTTTCCTGAGCTTCTTTTTTTACACTTATGTTATGCTTTCGTAACTCTTCATCTTGAACTGAATTGGCAAGATATCTTTGTAAAATAACGACTTCAAAGTAAACAGTACCGCATCAATATATTTTTCAATGTAGCTTTCATTTGAATAGCGCTAGCCACACAGCAAGCTTTCATCCACATTTTAGGTCACTGAACAACAACATTTGTTAAACTGACCCGAAGTTTGACTCAGATTTGAAAGGCTTAATTGCCGTTTCACCAGACCTCACCAAAATAAACTGACCATCAAAGTGAATCGAATTTAAATTAGAAAACTCGAGTTTGGCTTCTTCAATGTTATCAGAGCAAATGATGGCAGTGACGATATAGCCTCTATGTTAATGAAGTTTTCAGCGATCAATTGTACTGTGTTTAATTTTTACACCCACCGAAAAGAAAAAAAAAATGAAGATTAACACCTTTCATTATTTGAGAGGACATCAAGGGTCAAATTTCTCCTCTTTCGCTTAATAAGTACCTGACGTCGTCGCAATGGTTTGATCGTGAAGAGTATTTAAGAGATGTTAAAACCTTTACTTTCCGTGCCGCAATTGCTACGGTCACCCCAAGCATGGCAAACTGCTGCCGAAGACATCTTCATAAAACGTTTCGTTGCCATCGCCGAACCGCCCAAGTTGATTTGAAAAACTGAAACAAAACGTTAATAATAATATATTATATTCATGTGCCTGAAGAACCTAGCTCCCTGATTCATTGCCTACTCTTGTTTTTTGGGTGTTCCCAATTTTAATACGCTTCATATGCATGTTCAAGTGACTTTGACATCTAAACCAGGCGGCCTCATAACCACGTTTTTGACTGAACAACTTCTGGATTGATAGTGACTTTGATGCAAAGTAACAGTCAGAGGAATTTTTTTTTTTCCCTGAGATATTTCTCTTCCGCCTTATAATGATCTTTTTAATCGACCGACCGCCTCACTTGTATGACAGGGAGATTGAAAACAAAACGTTTATGGCAATTTCAAAGCAGCAGCAGTGCTTAGAGTGCCCCCATATTGCCTTCAGATTGCCTTCAGGCCCATGCAGAAAGGCCGTCATTAAAACCCGCATTGAATATATTAGCCCACCAAATCAATCAGCGCACCGAAGTATATTGTGTTGGTAAATTTTGAAACGCTCACGACGAGACAAAATTCACAGTCTTTGTAGAGTTGGCTTTTTTGGTTCACATCTTTCCAAAAATCCGGTGATAAGATCGCGGACATACTGGAGGAATGAAAAGGACAAGGTTTGTTGCCAGACAGATCGTAACCAGCCAATAGCTGCACACAGTTTGGAGTTCTCCAACTTCAAAATTCTATATCACACCAATTTGTTTTTCTGGTAACCTGATCAGCGTAACGAAACATTTCAACTGCATGTCGTTGACGAAAAAGCGGAAAGGAAATCTGCATGAAAGAAATAAACTAGTAAAATGTATTTGCAAATGAAATTAGCCATAACCAATCGAGTTAAGGGAAGCGTGTAATTGTACCTGAATTAAAACGCTTTACAATTTGTGTTGGGCGGAAGATGTCCATCATTCTCATAAAAACTTTTTTAATGAAAGAAAGGATTTGGATGTAAAGCAAAATTTCATTTTTTTTCTGCACCTATGTTATATCATTCCGAACACTGTAAGTACTGGTAATTTTCGTATTCTATTGTTAACAATTTGATAAAAAGAATGGACTCATCAGAACATTCCAAATTTAGCTAAAAGAGACATGGCGAAATGACATGGAGAGGTACAAACAGTAACGAAGTATGATCAGCTAATTTTGAAACGAAATTGTAAAGGTCTGAGATTTGCCAACCACTTTCGCGCTCTTCGGCTAATAGGAAAACACGAGAAATCTCTACAGCATACGGATACAAGAGATCTGAATTTTGATTTAATTTGTTCAACTTATGGCACAGATCGCTCCTTATAATTAAACTTGCTAATTTCGTATTTTCATGGTATCGTATAAAAGCCTCGCCAGTTTAACTTATTTTCAGAGCCAGCTGCGGCGACGTTTAGCTGCTAGTAATACAGATTCGTTGTTTTTATGAATAAGCTTCTTATCTTAAGCTGGAGTGGTTTTGGCTTAAGACTTCCTTTTCGTTCAGCAGGTAAATATAGTCAGCGCATTTTAGTAACGAAGACATGAACTCTTCTGTAGTCGGCAGGTTTTGGTCGAGTTTGCCGTCGCACCGATCACAAAATAATGGCTTCTGGCTTATTGGTCTGGACCTAGGGGTAATTGAGTTTGATTTTTAAAAGACTTACTTCACCATGAACATATTAGTGTTCAGTTGTTGAGGGAGATGCAAGCAAACACTCTGAATCTGGCCGCTACAATCACGCAAAACTATGGAAAGTTAATCCCTAGAAGACATGAAATAATAGCCGACACATGCTTGGTTCAGTGTTATCACAGCACTGCATACTTTGTAAGCTCAGTTAAGCTAGTGCACATCCACTTTAACAACTGATCTGGAAAACAATTTCTTCGTTCTGCTTCTCCTTCGGGAGCAAAATATATCAAATGCACGATTGTATGTAAATTCAGCTGTCTTCATCAAGCTTGTCGTTTTTGTAACTAGTATAGATACTGTAAACTATTTTTAAAAATGATTATCTTCAGTAGTCGCGTTCTTGTCAAGTAGACTCAAATTTAGTAGGATACCTTTAACTATTTGAGTGACAGTAAGGTTTCTAGGCTTTGAGCTCAACTGATGGTTGAGACAATAAAAACCGCTCTAACCGTAATTTTAAACTGGACGCTTTAGTATCAATTTAGTGTTGATTTATGTCGATACAATATGTCTACTCTGTGAACCACTCATTATGGACACTTGCGTGTCCCATTGAGGTGTCAGTTTTAACCAGGTTCCACTGATAGTTCGCGGTCATTTCATTGGCAATTCTGATCTTGTTGTAGAGAAAAAGCATTTGCCTGCCCTGAATGCAATGAGGCTGACAGCTTGGGAAAGGCAGGTCACTTGGTTCTTGCACATGTGGACACTGTTCTTCCTCAGAGCGCCTTACACAAACTGCAATCACGACAGAAGAGCTTACAAAGATGGCGATGTCATGTTGGGAGGCCTATTTGGCCTTCACTTCGCTGGAAATGGTCAGCATTGTGGTGACCTCTTCACAATGGGACTGGGACACGCTGAATCGATGATCTTTGCTATTGAAAGTGTGAACCAGAATCCGAACATTCTGCCCAACGTTACAATCGGCTACGACATCCGAGACTATTGTGAGAGCATCGCATTGGCCATGCACATCACCTACGATCTAGTGCGGGACAGTGATCCAGTGTGCATGCCACACCTGAACACGTTCAACATTTCTTCTCTGGGTAATGTCACAATGGCCGGGTTTAAGCCCATCTCAGCGCTTGTTGGACCGTACAACTCCGGCAGCGCTGTCTTAGTGGGAAGTCTACTCCAGGTCGCCACTATTCCCGCCATAAGTCCAACAGCAACAAGCGTAGAGTTGAGCTCACAATTGTACAAAGACTTCTTCAGGACAGTTCCACCGGACAACTTGCAAGCACAGGTCATGGCAGACATTATAGAACATTTCAATTGGACATACGTGGCAGCGGTGGGTCTAGATGACTCCTACGGACGCAATGGCATTTGGGCGTTAGAGAAAGAGTCGTACGATCGAAAGAGCTTCTGCCTTGCTTTTTCTGAGTTTATCCCACGGCTGGGCTATCAGGAAAAAATTAAGCAGACAGTTTCAAGGATTAAAAAGAAGCCCAGTATTGGAGTAATCATAGTTTGGCTTTCTGGTCGGTATGGGAGGGCATTCTTCCAGGATGCAACAGATGAGAAACTTCAAGGAAAAACTTTGATACTAAGTGACGCACTCACTGCTGAAGAGGCAGTGTTTCTTGATACTCGTTACACTGTACTGGATGGGTCCTTGGGTATACAGCCACATGACTACCCATCCACCGCCTTTGAGGAACACCTCAAGAGGATCACGCCCGCAAAAAGCGTTGAGAGAGGAATGGTATGGTGGGACGAATTGTGGAGGTCACAGTTTAACTGTTCCGTCACAGAGTCCAACGATTCTGGTTGCGGGGCAAATCTCACGTCATTTCATGCAATAACCAAGATACGAAGCTCTTTCATCTCCTACCTCATCGATGCAGTCTACGCCCTTGCACACGCTCTGGACGAAATTTATAACTGTTCTGCTGCGCATGGCATGCAGTCAACAGATCACTGTCCTTCGGTGCAACCGTTCGTCAAGGGAAGTGATGTACAGAAGTTCCTCAGAAATGTTAGTTTTGACGGTTTGACTGGCACGGTTCGATTTGACAGTTATGGTGATCCCGTGTCCGCCTCCTACGACATCGTGAACTTTCAACGTGGATCAACCGCAGCAATGGGTCGAGGGAAGGTTGTGGTGGGATGTTGGGACAAAGAAGCTTCGCCAAAACTCCTGTTAAACAAGTCCACCTTACGCTGGAACTCTTTGCTAAACAATCTGTCAGCTCCGGTGTCTTTCTGTGCATCCGAATGTTTGCCTGGCACTGTGAAGTCACCTACGACACCGTGCTGTTGGGAATGCATCGAGTGCCCGCAGGGGACCATTAGCCCTGATGTGGGATCAAGCAGCTGCAAAGAATGCGAACCAGAGACGAAGGCAAACGAAGAGCGCACAAGTTGTGAACATTTACCGATCATTAACATCATGCTGATCAGCACTACAGGAATTAGTATCATGGTGGTGGCCTTCATCGGCTTTCTTGTCACGCTGCTTATCTCTGCAGTCTTCGTCAAATTCTACGATACTCCAATCGTGAAGGCGTCTAGCAGAGAAATGAGTTTCCTGTTGCTTTTTGGCATCGCAGCTCTTTTTGCCTTGGCTGTCCTTATACTGGTGGAGCCCAGCCATTTTTTGTGTTGCGTTGTGTACTTCTGGCGCTATTTTGCCGTCACTCTTTGTATCACGGTGCTTTTCTTAAAGACAAAGCGAATAACGAGCGTGTTTCAAGTGGACAAAATAGCGATACTGTTTACACCATGTTTCAAAACAATTCAAAGACAAACCATGTTAATTGCCGTCATGAATTCAGTTCCACTGTCCTTAATAGCACTGTGGATGATTCTTGATCCTCCCAGAAGTGAAAAACTCGTCCGCCCTGACGAGTATATATTCCTGGTGTGCAAGCCTTTCCGCTCCGACACCGGCTACTCACTGTTCCTCGCCGTCTGCTCGTATGCGTTAACCGTTGCTCTCCTCTGTACGTACTACGCCTTCAAAGCCAGGGGCATTCCAGAAAACTTCAACGAGACAAAGTACATAGGTTTCTCTATGTACATTCTTCTATTATCATCACTGGCTTATTACCCAGTGGTCTTCAACTTCGAAAGCTGGTACGTGACTTTGGTGGCTTGTTCTACTACGTTAGTGACCTCGTTTGGTTTATTAAGTTGTATGTTTGGACCAAAGGTATACATACTTATGTTCCATCCACAACAAAACACCGTGGAATCAGTTAGGTCGCAGGTGTCACAGTACTCGTTTCATAAATCGCGCTCTAAAGTATGGGCCGCAGCCATCTCAGTCGGCGGTACAAGCAACGTGATTAGCAAAGCCTCGTAGACTGAACTGAAGCTCGACGCAAGAGTTTTCTTACAAGAGACGATTGCCGGGACAAGACATATCTTGGGTGTTGGCAACGAGACAGAACTTTAACCAAGCGTTGAAAACAAACTAAAGTTTTCATCAAAAAAAAAAAAAACTGACTAAAAGTGGTCAGTTTGAAAATCGTTTTAAAGCGGAGTTTATTTAAAAAGTCCTCACCTTCAAACTAGCACTGGCGTTTTCTTAAATAAAAACATGGAGATATACATCATGTTTTTTATATCCGGTTCATACTCCCCTACTGTGCATATAGTTCGCCCCCTATGAAACGGCCACCCTGGGGGAAATAGATAGTGGCCGCTTTAAGGGGGCTGGCCGCTTAGTAGAGGTGAAAACAATAAAAAAGCCCCCATCGGGAATTTGATAACTGGCCGCTTAATAGGGGTGGCCGTTCAAAAGATGGCTGCTTATTAGGGGTTTGACTGTAGTTTTGATTGTTTTACTAGTAAACCGCATGGAAAAAAAATTATTTTAACGGTTTATTGCTTCGATGAACCATTTACAAGCTCATAAGCTCCTTGCTTTTGATTGGAGATCTCTCCGGCGGTTTTTTTCAACATCCCACTTGTTCTATTGAAAGTGTAGATAATATTGTTTCCAATATTTAGTTATAAATTCATCCATTTATTCATCCTGTATTTATCAAAATGAATATAAATGAACAGAACTGAAAATAGCTCTAGCTGTCACCGCACAAACGATCTTTTTTCTACATGATATATGCATCAATAATGGATTCTCCGATAGGATTTCCCGTTCTTACCGATTACAACAGCTACATATCCACATACTTACACCCGCTTTCAGTGCTCAGTTTCAAAGACCGGCTGAAAGACCGTTTTACTGTGAAACTGGCAATTTTTCCGGTTATTAGCGGAACAAATGACAATTAAATGACAATTACTGACCTCAAATTAATGAACTTGAAGGAGATTGTGGACTTTGTTAGTCTGGTCGCTCGGCTCTCAATGGCGACTTCCGGTAGAATTCGGCCGCTGCCACTCAGTTAATATTCGAAAGATGTAAACATTCAAAACAGTCAATTTATCTATTTATTGATTGATTGATTGATTGATTGATACTCCTAGCCTCAGTTTGATGTCAAATAAATCCATCTTTCATGACATAAAAGTCGAGTTCGACCATAAAGAAGTCAGTTGTGCTTACATTTTTGACGTAGGCCAGGTTACATAGCATGTCGAGCTATGCACTTAACACTCAAAACGGGTGAAAGACAGTGGTTAGTGGCAAGAAGTTCTAAGATCAAGAACACAGTACAAGGATTCCCTTCACACTCGATTAGGAAAAACGTAATAAGCACGCGCGAGTTTTGGCCTCGTGTCAGGCGTCCCATTGCAGCCCACATTATAACCTGAACCCGCAAGTAGGGCTAGGGAGAGACAGAAAGCTGCCCAGTATGTTCTTCAGATCTGAAATCAACTTCAGGATGATCAATCGACTCTCGAAGCTGAAGGGGTTTCCTAGGGATTATGGGTTAATTTCTTTCTGTTCTCTTGTATATTGCATTGTAGTTATGTGTAATTTGATAGTTTGCACTAAGTATACTACATTAAAACAGGAATTACAGACGTTTGTTTAAAAATTGAGTAAATGTAGTCAAGAGATGACATAGTCGACGTCAACGTCTTGCTAGAATATACAAGTCAGTGACAAAAAACGGCACTTTTATCGACTATATTACAGTCGTTTACTTGATAACTTCTTGGAGATTATTTATTCTTTCAAAGATACCAGTGCAGCTATATACTAATAATCTACAATTATGTAAACTGTGTTGTTTTGCTTGTCTTGATCTTGGATCGTAACAATGGTGCAGTTGTTCGTCACTGAAAACATAGATTAAAAAGTCTCTTTTCTCACCTAATAACCGTCCTAGAAAAGTTTACATTCAATTAAACAAAAATCACCATCGACACTGATCTTGCGCACTCCTTGTGTAACTCAGTTGACCGGTGCATTCCACGTGAACGGAGGTCCTGGAAGCTCATTCTCGTTGCTATAAACAGCACATTTCTTGAATTCACAAGGCTTTGTGTACCACGCGTACCTCAATCCTTTCAGAACATGCTGAGCAGGGCATTCTCCAGTCAAACCTACAGAGTTGAAGTCTCGCGAGAGAATCTTGGCCTGTGTGATCATGGATTGTGTCTCGTGTTCAAGCGATGTGCAGTAGTACTGTAGACAACAAAAGGAGTTGGCGGTAAAACACGCACCTAATTTTAACGGCACAAGATATATATGTTTTCTTACTTTCCAGATGGTTAATTACAGTCACTGAAAACTGATGGTCAAGCATTCCTCCTAATACCGTGGAACCCCGTTAACAGATACAGTCACCAACGGGCCATGAAAATGTGATCGTATGAACGGGGTAGCCGTATTAACGGGGTAGGGTCAAACCTCACGACTGGTGTAAATTGAGTGATTTCTTAACAGATACATCACACATGATCACAATTATAGCACTTCTAAACATAGTAAGCGTCCGGAATGCAGATAAAATTTAACAAAAATTGAAACTTGAATCAATGTATGAAATATTAACAATGAAAAGATGAACATAACCGGTTCGAGTGGCCGTATAAACGGGGAAAAATTATAAAGGATTATACAGGTTGAGATTTCAGAATTTGGCCGTTGGCCGCATTAACGGGGTTTTCTTACAAGGAAATGTATGGGCTTTTTGCCGAGACCAAAGAGTGGCCGTAATAACGAGGTGACCTGAGGCGGGGTTCCACTGCAACAGCGATGAAGTAATGAATTCAGCTTCGTACATTGTTTCAAACGTCTATTCCTCAACTGAAAAGTTACTGATCTGACCTTCTTTGTAAGAAAAGATCACTAATAATCGTTGGACTACAAGAGAAAGCAAACAAACAAGTTACTAATCACTCAACAAGAGACTCCTCGGAAATGTAGCCTCATTCTTAGATGATCCGATGTTGCTGACCACTTTCATAAGAAGAGCTGACCAACTTGCACCACCCTGGGGCGGACTACGGGGCTCGGGGGGGTTTCGTTGAGCCCCTAAATTAAAAAAATGAGACTACAACACGCTGACTTGGCCTCGGAATGTCAGAAATCCCATTCAGAGGACCTCAGTTTCAAAGTTTTTCTGGACCCCCCTACAGGGACCCCCTGCAGCGGTCTGTATCTCGAACGCCCTTCTCTAAAATCATGAATCCGGCCGCCCCAGCCACCTCAGAATCAGACTACATGTACCTGGAATACAGAACTTTGCAAATAAACTGCACCTCAAATCCGTGTCCTGATCTCAGTTGAATGCCTCCTTTACCTACACTCTCATGCTGATATTTCACAGTAGTGTTCCAAGTTGTTGTATTAGCCACCGAAGTAAATATGACATCAGAAACAATTGGCCCAGAATAATATACATCAATGTCTCCATAAGCAACTGCTCGTCCAGCAAGCGCCAAACGGAAACCGACATCTTGTTTATCATTTGGGTGAATACTGCCATATGGCGCTGATGCATTTCCCAAATCCATGGCAACAGCCATAAACACATTTTGTTCTCGGAGGTTAGGAACATAACCATAGTTGGCTGTCTGAGCCCAGCGAATAACAGGAAACCCATCTGCAACAACTGAATCATTTCCAGTGGCAGACAACTGAACAAAAACAAAATACACAACACTAAATAAACCAAATTCATTCATGTGCTGAATGAATGAAATGGTGTCCAATGAATGCAATGGTTCCACACTGAAAGTCAATTCTTACATTTTCTTTTTGAGAATCAGGCACAACTTTCCTTAATATTCAACTTTTCACAACCAACACACTTATCAGAATAGCCATTACTTCTTGAGTTGATGAATCAATGATGCTGGCCCCAGTAGCTCTAAGGCTCGATAGCGCTATCCACCGGATACATCGCTATCCAGTGGATGAGTGATAACAAAACGAACCACGCTAGAATCCACTGGATACTGATTTATTGGGTGGATAGCCTTATCTACCTTTTGAAGAACCTGAACAGGTCATGTAATGGCTTCAGCCTTTGGTTGCCATTTCTGGACTTTCACAGGAATTTAATCGTCATCGCCTGTTGTTCACACCATTTAGTGGTGTTACATCATAGCAAAATCGCACGTTCTGCCTGACTTGTTGACTCGCTTATCGACTTTTTCCAGTTCAACTGCTGTTGTATCTAATTATCAGGTAATCTTGCATGTATTTTTTGAATGTATTGCAAAGTGTTTTGAAGCAATAATGCAGACCAATAATTTAAAGAAAACAACATATTATGTTCAAGAGACTGACTAATGATTAATTGGTAACAGGACATTGTGCCTTTCAAATTTTGGCCTGTAATTTGGCCTGCAATCATATTCATGATTAACAAATTTGCGGTCGTCCGATTTTGTTACCGGTAATCACCTGTATGATTAGAGACCAAATTGGACTCCACTCAGTCCTATTACTATTATCAATCAATACATAATAAATGACTAAAACACCAGCTCAGTCCCAGCCTAAACCCCTCGCCCTCTATACTCATCAGCCTAGTGAGAATAACTTGTACTTTGTACCTGTACAAATCCAAAAGGATAGTCAGGTGCTGTGAGTTCATCTGTGCCATGAAACCACTTGGATCGCCAATCATCAATCATGGCTGGAAATGTACAGTTGTATGTATATGGTTCATGAGAATTAGCTTCCCCTTGATACCAAATTGCACCATATATGGTCATGTTAAGGAGAGGATGGATCATAGCATTGTACAATACAGAGTGTTCATTAGGGCTGAAGAACTTCTCCTCTTCAGGTGACAAGTACCTCAACACAAAATACATACTAATTAACAAATACACTAGATTAAGTATGTACTAAATAAATATTGCCAGGGGTGCATCCAGGATTTTTCAAGGGGTTGGCAGGTACCTTAGGGTTCCAGAATCAATGAGGCAACCCCCAAAATGATTGGAAATCATGTCACTAGAAATAATGGCAATGCCACAAAGTAGAAATAACCATGAGGTACCTGTCCAGCAAGTTTGCCTTTATTTCTGCCATAATATTCACAGCCTTTTTCAAATTTTTTTAGTGTTTTGCTTCTCTAAAAGGGGGTGGCTAGCCACCCAATCCACCCCACTCCAATAAATCTGCCCCTGTATTGTTATTGAGCAAACCATCCCAGCTTTACATTGCACACAATGCCAATTTCATCTCAATTCAAAAGTGTGTGGTCCACCGTTTGGCCCATCTTGCACGGTGCACAGTCAATAGAAGGTTGATTACCAGCACAAAAATGTTTGACAAGAAAAAAATCTTTAAATGGGAGAAAATCCGGCCATTAAAATGCACCTACTCCACAGGTCACATGTGGAAAATGGATGGCATCTAGCCAGATCTCATTTCCTGATCCTTTGTAATCCTACAGACTGAATGATTCACCCTGCCTTGAAAGTCTGGCAATATTTGTGAGAGAAAACGTTGCTGGAGCCCTTGGACTCCAGGTGTCTATGAAATGTCCCAGTTTATACTAAAGTGTTTTGTAAATGTTAAGTGAGCCTATTCTGACTAGAAAACAACCCTTTTCCAACTTTACAACAAGCTCTTATCTGCCATTACTAAGTCCTCTGTACTGAGTTAAGGTGAGTTTTCAAGAAATTGTCTGAGGGGTGGATTTGGTAGAGATTGGATTAAGTGGCTAGCCACCCCCCTTTTGGAGAAGAAAAATATTTAAAAAATTGAAAACGATTGTGAATATTATGGCAGAAATAAAGCCAAACACTCAAGACAGGTGCATCATTTTGGTGAAACAGTATGCAGTTAGGTTCCATTTCTCAAATTGCAACACAAAGGGAATATGCCCCATTAATTCTCCAACCGCAAAGTACCAGTCACCATCCCCCCTTCCCCCTTGAGTATCCACCCCTGCAGGGATGGATCCAGGATTTTTCAGGGGGG